AAATAGATACAACTTCTGCTTAGGAATGTTAGAGTGAGCACATCATATCTCTCCACCTCCCCTTCCTTTGGTGATTCATCTAACTGGTGAGATTGCAGGAGTGGCACCCACTTGGCCCTAATAACCGGGGTATCTGGACACTACAAGGAAAGGCAGTAGGGGCCTGGCTGTGGGCTCCGGATTTCTCAAGAAAGTGGGTTTGTGAAGTGGTCACAAGATCGTGTGTCATTTGGCTTTGTGGTCTCTGCACCCGCTCTCCCTGCAGGGGCTCCAAGGTCTAGACTTCAGGCCAGGAATAGCTCACTGGACTTCTACTGTGGGCCCAGGCCCAAGCCCAAGCTGCCCCTTCCAACATGGCTTTCTAGAGAGCCCTGCTCTCTGAGCAAGGGGCTGGCATGTGATCCTATGTGGCTCCCCCGGTTTGTTTCTCAGTTGGGAGAATGCAGAGGTGAGGACAGATGAAAGACCACACCCTGGAAATCCCTGCAAATGGCCTGTTGGCCAGAAAACCCTAGGAAGTATTACATCTGGAGACTCAGGAAAGACCAAGTCTGTTAACTCCAGTCAGGGTTCTCCTCACATCAGACAGAGCTTTGGCAAACAGTTTCTTCTGAGGCATTCCCCGGTGAAGCTTTTATTGTGTCTAAGGCAGGACGAAGAGACATGAAGGCTAGAGAAGGCATCAGCTCTTCCCCCAGGGTGAGATTTCGGTCTTTGAATGGTCAGTGCCAAACAGAGATGGGCAGGTAGCACCAGAGCACCAAGCACACCCATCTCAGAGGATTTCCCTTCATTCGCTTTTCTCTGCTTATTCACTTTCTCTTTGGAGTGAATGCTTCTAAGTCTTCTCACCAGGCCCTCCTCCTCCTCCTCTCATGGATGAGGCTGGGGATGCTCCCTAGTTAGTAGGATGGGTTGCTCTGCCTCAGTCACTGGCTCTGCAGGGTTGCGGCCAGCAAGGCTCCCACTCACCCAGCTTCAGCGTCTCAGGCTGTGTCTAGGTAGTGAGATAGGCTGGCTCTCCCCTAGAGCTGGCTGTCATCCACCGAAGAAGGTGCAAGGAGGAGAAAGTGTCATCGGGACTTTAAGTCCAGGCCATGTCCTTCAGCAAAGTAGACCAGGAGGTCTGTATTTTACAACTTTCAAGTGTTCTCATCAGTTAAAGAGATGTCCCTTGATTCCAATCTGGCTTTTTTGTCACTTCCTCCATTGGTCAGAAGCCAAAGGGTGAATGGCTGGGACTGATATCCCCACAGATATCTGATACTGTGATATCCCCACAGTAACAGAAGCGTGTTCTACTTGTGTCTGGAGGAAGTGTCAGGGCCTCCGCTGCCTGCCACCAGGCTTCCCTTGCAGCCGCTTATTTGACAGTTTGTACACCTTGTCTCCAGCAGGTACCGGATCAAGTGGAAACACCGTCCAATCCATCAGGCAGCAGCACCCGAAGACCCACTGTGTTTGACATGGCGATTAGAACAGGTCCCAGCCATCTTTAGTTTCTGCCAGGAAATCCAGCCCTCCCCCGCCACCCTGAAGCACAGCTCCTCATGCAGGACTTCCCCACAGGAGAGGAAGCAACATGGCAACAAGAGGTTGAGTGACCAAGGTTGGACGTGCGGGTGGTGACTCAGAGGGAGCAGGAAGCCAGAGTCCCATGGGCTGCAGAGCCACCAGCTCTGGCCTGGTTGTTGGAGATGGATCAAATGCAGGGCCAAGGATTCAAGTACGCCCCATCCACCATGTATTGGCATTTTGTCTTTCTCCCAGCAAGTCACATTCTCTGTTTATCCCCAAGCACCAGGCAGTATTGGCATTTGCATGTCAGGTCCAAGGAGTGACCTGGAGGAGATTTTTCTCTACCTTGCCTGGTCAACAGGAGAGGACGGTCAGACCACCTGGTTATGGCACAGACACACTGACATGGGAAAGGCTGAGGTGGTGCCCTCTGATCTAATGTTGTTTACCCCAAGAAGAGAGTAAGATGGGCTTCTGAAGCCTACACAATCACTTCTGAGTCTCCTCAGCTATAAACCTGGGTAGGGGAAAAGGTAAATGAAAGGGCGCCATGACAGGGACCATCAACAGTACCCCCTTAGCCTCTTTATCATGGGGTGTCAGTGAATGGTAGCTCTTGTCATTGTCATCATCATCACCATCACTATCACCACCATTACTGCAAGAACCAGCAGCCAGGGCACCCCTAGTAGCCACTGCAGCTACAGACAGCAGGAGGGAGGGAGAAGGGAGGAAGGAAAGAGCCTAGTTTCCAGGCAGCCTGGGCGGTCCCTCTCCATTTCATCCCACCTCAATGGCAGAAGTAGAAGCCAGAAAACCCCTCCTTGTGAAGGTGAAGACCCCAGGATCCAGGCTGAGGGAGCAGCCCCGACTCCCCAGAGCTGAACAGGGGAAACCTCCACTCACCCGCAGGTCAATTTCCCACAGGAAGCCTTGGAGGAAACATGACAACCAGGCCGGAGCAAGGCCAGCACCAGGGCCCCTGCAGAGCTTGGGCTAGGAACCAGCTCTTACTTCTGCCAGGGCAGGGTGGGAGGGCTTAACCCATCTGTGACAGACAGAATATGTGTCACTGTCAAAACATGGACAAATGACTGAGCTTTTATAATGAAGGGATCCTTTTTGACTTTTGACTGACACTGAGGGGGAAAACTGAGGTCTCTTGAGTCAACTGCTAAGGCCAGCGTGGCTGAGACAGGCTTCCCTCATGGAGCACTTTGCGAAAACCCATCATCATGGTTCCCACATGGGTAATAAACGGCACAAATGGGTCAGACAGCACATCTGACACAAGACACAATCTCAGAGTTTAAGCCATAAATGGGCCTGGAGCCAGCAGGGCAACATTCCATATGGCCCCTCAAAGAGTATCTGATACATGTCACACTTCAAATTACATTTTATAAAGACTTCAAAACAATACGGCAATCTGAAACAAAACAAAATGGCTGTTGCTTAGGGACAATTTCAAGAGGAAATTCATATATTTAAAGAAAAACAGAGATACCGAACTGTCACACCTCCTCCTATTCCCCCTCCTCCTAAAAAAGAAGTTAAAAGGAGAAACACAGTAGAGTACTTTTCAGGCCTCAGTGGTTTAATGGGCATGGGAAATTTCAAATTGGCATCTCCAGTTGGGAGAATTCATTCTCCAGGATGAATGTCTTGTCAGTATTGGACACAATCCCTCCACACATCACCATGGTAAATAAAAGGTGCTCAATGCATTTTGACTTGTCTCAAAAGAAGTAAGACCTCAGTGTACCTTTAAATAAACTGTTATAAGTACAGCATGGTCTTGAGGATAAATAAACCTCCTGACTTGTTCCCACAGGTTTAAAAACTTAACAATTAGGTCCCATGCTAATACTGGGGCTGAGACAGCTCCTGGCATTGCTGAGGCCAGGCTGAGGGCAGGGGCTCAGGAGGGAGGCAGGTGGCTGACACCTCTTCCACTCAGGCAGTCAAAGTGCCAATGGCCCCTTAAACCCAAGGCTGAGCAGGGAGGCCACCCCCAGCTGCGTGTTGCCTGGTCAGGAGTCACCGTCCTCCTTAATTCCATTTCATTTGACTTTACTTGGACAAATAAAATCAAAGCAAATGGCAGGAACCACACTACAATAGAAGATTGGTACTTCTGAGAGATAAGATCCAAGACCTTCACAATTTCCGAGCCCACAAGCACCACTATGGAACAGCTGAAAAATTTAGGTGCCTTGAATGTGGGCTATGACAGGTAAAGGCATCAGAGAGCTGGGGGATGACAGCAGCTCTCCCCCACCCCCTCCACCAGCTAACAGAGCTGCTCTCCCTTGAACATCTGCCTTGCCAAGTACTTTTCAGTCTTAGCAAAATGGCAAATTACCACATGACCTGGACTTTTCATTCTCCTGTGAAACCACAAATGCTATGGCCTCACATACAAAAGTCAGTCTACTTCGCAATCTTCAGAGACAACCTCTGAAGCAATCCTGGGATAAACAGGACTCCTCAAGATTTAAGATACTGAGCCAGGGACTAGGCATGGTGGCTCACACCTGTAATCCCAGCACTTTGGGAGGCTGAGGCAGGTAGATGCCTTGAGCCCAAGAGTTCATGACCAGCCTGGGCAACATGGCAAAACTCCCATCTTGACAAAAAATTATCCGGGTTTGGTGGCATGCCTGTGGTCCCAGCTATCCACAAGGCTGAGGTGGGAGGATCACTTGAGCCTGGGAGGTCGAGGCTGCAGTGAGTCACAATCATGCCACTGCACTCCAGCCTGGGCAACAGAGTGAGACCCTGTCTCCAAAAAAGTATGTGAGTCAGGGCTTGCTGGATGTCTGAAGCAATCTCTGAGGCATGACATAGGAGAAAATTCTGGAAACTTGCATAACAGCTAAGGCTTTAGAGCACGTTTGTCCAACCTGTGGCCCACAGGCCGCATGTGGCCCAGGATGGGTTTGAATGTGGCCCAACACAAATTCATAAACTTTCTTAAAACGTTATGAGATTGAACAGGCGTAGTGGCTCACACCTTTAATCCCAGCACTTTGAGAGGCCGAGGTGGGCAGATCACTAGGTCAGGAGATCAAGACCCTTCTGGCCAACATGGTGAAACCCCATCTCTGCTAAAAATATAAAAATTAGCTGGGTGTGGTGGCACGTGGCTGTAATCCCGACTACTCAGAAGGCTGAGGCATGAGAATTGCTTGAACCCAGGAGGCGGAGGTTGTAGTGAGCCAAGATGGCGCCACTGCACTCCAGCCTGGTGACAGAGCAAGACTCTGTCTCAAAAAAAAAAAAAAAAAAAAATTATGGAGTTTTTTTTTGCGATTTTTTTTTAAGCTCATCAGCTATTGTTAGGGTATTTTATGTGTGGCCCAGGAAAGACAAAAGATTGGGCACCCCTGCTTTAGAGCTTTTCAACATGCTGGTCATAGTCATATATTCAATGTTTCATTCATTTACATTAAAATCTCCTGTTTGGTTTAAATACTTACATCATTTTCTAAAAAATTAAACATGCTTCTTTCAGCCAACTCCTTTGACTCTTCAAATTTTTCTACCGCTTGTCTGACTTCTTCGTCTGGTATCTTACCTACTCGTTTCTTTTTATAATCGTAATCCAGGCGGCGGCCTTCCAGCTTTTTCAGGTGATGCTAAAAAAAGAGAAGGGAGTCCCTCAGAGAGGCGCTACATTCAAAACCTGGCACAAAAAAATTATTTCTATTAAAATGGTCATTGCTTTTTCTCGGCCTAGATTCCAGAGGGCAGGAACCCACCTTACACTGCTGTTGGGAGCACCTCAGCACCTGATGGAGGCTCTCCTCACTTCAGGTGCTCAAGGAATATTTGTGGAATGAATGAATGAATGAATGAATGAATGGACAGATAGGTAATAGAATAAATGAGTGTCTGTATGGAACATAAAGATGCAGTAGCCATGCTCAGATATTCTTTTCAATGTTCTTTATACGATCCCTCACTTCAGCCTTCTTAATGTCCAGATAATTTCTAACCAGGTTAACCAAACAAAACATAGTAGGAACATTTCTTTTGGCACTATTGTCAACTCCTGACTAAGTAGTAGACTATAAAATCACAAACTTCTACAATCCCTTAGAATATTAATGGATCTCCATAAAGTTCCCAAACCATCAAGAAATAAGTTGTATAAAATGCTGTTAATGAATGCAAAGGAGAGAGATTCACAGACAACCTCTGAAATGGGAAAAACTCTAAACAATATTATAACCCCTTTAACAAAATCTAACAGAACTGTCTACTCATGGAACAGGCTGCCTTGCGTAGCAGGTTTCCCATCATAGTTTGTGTCCAAGCAGAGAGACCCCGTGTCAGAACAGTGTCGAGTGGGAGAGCTATACAGGACAAGGGAGGGGTCCCTGGAGAGTTTATGGCTATAATCCTCAGAAATCAGACACTGGGTATCGAAAGTGTATGTAGAAACTGATCATCCCACTGAAGCACGAGGATAGCTTGCACTATTCATTTTAGCAGGAAGCACTGCTTCTAACTTTCATGACTCGGTGAAAAGAGCACCCAGAGAGTCAGAAGCATCTGTCTCCTATGCTGTGACTTTGGGCTGGTCCCTAATCCCTCTGTACCTCTACATGAACACCTGAAAGTCAGTCATATGTCAAATGAACAGGCTCCCAACCCCTGATTTCTGAGCGACATGGAGCATAGGCGAGACTGTGAAAGGCTTCCTAAACCTTGGACTCTTAACTTTCCATCATCCACATAATTTAAGGTTAGATTTACAGTTCTATATCAAACAGCATCTGAGTAACAAAATGGCATTTAGAAAATTATTTTTTTGCATAAGGAACTCCAACATTTCAAAATAAGTGTACTTTACACATTTCACCCACTTACTACACAGGACCACATATGTGTCTGTGGTTGGCCAGGTGGAGGAGCAATGCTGACTTTTCATATGACCTTCCTCCATGATGACCGCACAAGAAGAAATAAAACTTGCTATATGTCAGCAAAGGAGACATTTGGTTTTACAGCTGTGCATTTGGGGGAGATGTTTTGGCATCCCCAGAACCCAGACTGTCACTTCTCTAGAATCAACCATTCAAAAATAATTTGGAAAAACATCTCCTGTACCCAAACAACATATACACCTACTAAGTACCCACAAAAATTAAAATAAAAAAAAATAAAATAGGCCAGGCGCAGTGGCTCACACCTGTAATCCCAGCACTTTGGGAGGCTGAGGCAGGCGGATCACGAGGTCAGGAGATCAAGACCATCCTGGCTAACATGGTGAAACCCCGTCTCTACTAAAAATACAAAAAAATTAGCCAGGCGTGGTGGCGGGCGCCTGTAGTCCCCGCTACTCAGGAGGCTGAGACAGGAGAATGGCGTGAACCCGAGAGGTGGAGCTTGCAGTGAGCCGAGATCATGCCACTGCACTCCAGCCTGGGCAACAGAGCGAGACTCTGTCTCAAAAGAAATAAAAAATAAAAAATAAAATAATGTGTGTGAGCACAAACCATGTGGCAGGCTTGTGACTACAGGGAACAAACCACGATCCCTCACCCCAAGGAATGGACTGCTCAATATGAGCAGAAGGTAAGCAACAGTGCTCATGGCACAGGGGCACAGAAGGGGTACCCCACAGAGTCTAGCAAAAGAACAAACAGCTTCCCAAAGGAAAGCACATCCGAGCTGAGGGGTGAGGTGACACAGCCAAGAGATGGGGTGAAAGGACAAAGACAGCAAATAGCGAGAAAGTACAAAGCAAAATGTCACCAGGGAGCTGGAAATGATTCAGTGAGGCTGGACAGAGTTCACATGGGGAAGGGGTGGCAATAAGGCCACAGAGGAAAGGAGGGGCCAGGCTGTGAAGGGCTGAGGGGCTGTATCTTCACCCCACCTCCGGTGGGCAGCCAGAAAGGTTTGCAGCTCAGGAAGGATGCCCTTGCTGTGGGCTAGAGAATGGACAGGAGGGAGTGAGATGTGACGCCAGGGGTCAAGGGCAGCTGTGCTGATGTGCGTAAATGTTAACAGGAAGAAGCCAACAGATAGAAAGGGAAAGAATGAAGGTACAGCAGAGAGGACAATGGATGTCACAACGGCCCTGAGGAAGTGAGAGATGACAAACCCGGCGGCCCAGTAGAGGACTTGAGAGCAACAAACATGTCCCTGGCTTGACAGCAACAGGAACATGTTTCCCCTGAGATGGAAGAAGAGGATGGTATGCATGACGGGGCCAAGGGCTGTGCAGGTGGGGAGTGGGATGTTTAGGGAGCTCCTGAATGGGTGCTTTCATTTCTCACTCAGACTTCCTGAATTCTCCCTCATACCCTTTGCTTTCAGCAGAAACTCTAAATGCAATGCCTGGACAGGCATCCAGGGCTTTCCGTGACTCTCAGTCTTTCCTCCCTCCACAGCACCTCTGCCCCTACACACCCTATCCCCTGGCCATACCACACAATCGAGGTTCCCGAGCCTGCCTGCTCTCACAGCCCTGGCCCTCTGGTCAGCTTATGCTGGATATTTTGCCCACCTGAGTCTCCCAGTCTGCATAGCCAGCTTCTCCTCCTCTGGGAAGCCTTCCCTGACCCAGCCAGGCTGAGGGAGGTGCCTCTCCTTCATGTCCCTGGGTTAATCTCTCCAACAACTGTCAAAGTACATGATACCTGTTGACTTGTCTCTCTACCCTACACCTGTGAGTTTCACAAGGGCATACACCAGGTCTTGGTTAGCCACATATGGCCACTGCCCACCACAGTGGCAAGGCACAGCAGGCCCTCTATACACAGATGATGGATGAATAAATAAATCAACGAATGAACAAAGAAAGAACCAATAATCTGACATTCATCAGTTCCTTCTCTGGTCCCTGAAATATGAAGCCATCTCAAGGCCCACGGTCCAAGCAGGGAAGGCCACCCAAGCTCACACATCCCATCAGCCTCATCTCTGTCACACAGGCTAGACCAGTGGGGGTTCACACTTCCCCCTCGGGTTCTGGAAAAAATGGGCTAGAACGGTGGTTTTTGAACATTAGTGTGCATCAGAATTACCTGGAGGACTTTATAAAACACAGACTTGCTGGGCTTCACCCCCAAGATTTCTGATTCAGGAGGTAAGGGATGGGGCCCAAGAATTTGCATTTCTCACAAGTGATGCTGATGTTGCTGGTCCAGGGACCACACTTCGAGAATCAATAGGTCTGAAGAAGGGAAAACAGGATATGCCCAAGGTTCAAATGACCTCCAAGTTGAGATCATGCTGGAAGGTACCCGGAGGAACATCTTCTGTACATATCCATAAGAACGTGCTTGTACCTCCAGAGTAGAAGTCCCTGGTGGGGTAGAAGTCTCGGGGCTGTTTTCCCACATCTACAAAAATGCCACCATGCAAGTGGCATGCAATTATCTCCAGGTACCTGAAAATTCCCATGCATATCATTTTTAACAGTTTTCCAAATGAAAAATTCAGTTTCTAGGTGTTGATTTTCTTGAGAAGTAATGGAAAATAATGACCACCAGGGCAATGCATCAGAATATGCAACTATGGTATGATTTCGATAATAAGAAATGCACTACAAAGTTAAGTAATTACTTTGTTATGTGATAAATGGCTGCAGAAATATGGATTTTTAGCCTGGCTTTGAGCTGGCTTCAACTAGATACAGAATTTCCAGCTGAAAGAACATGCTGACATTCCCTCCCATTATCCTGCTTCATCTCCAGGGCAGATAGATCCTGGCACTCTTTCCCAGTGAGCCCAGGAAAATAGAACTGGGTTATTTTTACCCTACCCACAAGCATCATAAGATGATGCTTTCAGTGAGTCCCTGCTGAAACATTCTAATGATTTTAGATATAAACATCATCTTAAGTAGCAACAGGTATATTTATAGCCTGGAAGACTTACCCCAATCTCTTTCAAATCTTTATCTTGTAGTAACTGAAGTGGATCAATAAAAGTTTGCTTTACATTAATATCAAGAGAGTCTTTCACCTCAGCCATTAGCTTCATGGATTCACCAACTTCTATCAATGCATTGCCTTGAATAGAAAACATAAATACAAAAGGTTCTTTGGGAGACTACTCCAGGTTTAACAGTGCTATTTATTTCATTCTTTATCAAAAGTTTGTGGATGATGGTGTAGCAAGGTCCTTGCTCCAGGACCTCTGAATCCTGGAACAGAATGAAAAAGAAAAAGCAAGGCTTCCTATTTTCTGCATTTTCCTCTCTATGTTCTGCACTTTCACCACCACAGAAAATACAACTGAGGCTAGCAGACCGAAGTACTTACCGTTTGGGCCACTAGATGGGGATAAAGATCCTTTTAAAAAAACTGGTAATTTGGGACTCTGGCACGGAGGGTTCCTTAGAAGCTTAAGAATAAAATCTCCTTGTAAACAATGAAAGGATTCACTCATGGGGCTGTTAACCAGTAAAAATTACAATAGAAATAAACCAATAAAACATCTCAGCTTCTAGCGTGGGATCTTCTCAAGGCTACTCCCTGTATCCTTCTAGAAGGTTCTAAGGCTCCCTGCCCTCTCTGATGTCAAAGAAAGCCTGCTGGTGTCACATGGGACATCCTGTCAGCAGGGTGGGGTAGGGGTCTGCTGGTGCACTAGAGCCCAGGCCAGCCTTCCTGGCTTGGCTGGTGACAGGTAGTTTTTCCTGGATTACAGTGTGGTATCTCAGTCCAGTTAATTGGCAGTAATTTGCCATATTATTGCAGACCACGTGCCCTCTAGTTTTCTGTACAATGAGGGTTGCAGGGTCTCTAGAAAACATCCCTGGGAAATGCTGCACTAGAATGAACTATTTTTCCTATATTTGAGTTTTTCCAAATTGATCTTGTAAAAAGATGGAGATTGGGGTTGCTCAATTCCTAGGCTTAAAGAAGACTGTAAAGCCCAGCCTAAGTCTGACCTTTGAGTTGTTTCACCCACCAGGCGAGGGCATGGACAACTTATTCACCTGTAAAACAGAGATGGCAACATGTGCCTCACCTCCCTTAAAATAAAAAAAAATAAAAAAATAAACAGAAAGATACTAGATAGGACCTTGCAAAACAGAAGTAGGAACCATTACTCTAAACTAAGGCTTCCCAGGACTCCACACGGACGCAGTGGTAGCTTCATTCCTCCTTGGAAGCTAAATTTCCTTAGCTCAACTCTCCAAAGTGTGTCTAAATAATTCCTAAATGAAGATGAAATATCCCTTCCTAGCCTGTGGACTATTTCCTGCCCAAATGGTGAGAAATGATATTTCTCACCATTTGGGAGCACAGTGTCCCATTTGGGTGATAGAAATGGTCACCATATACTGACCCCACACCCAGCCCCTCTGCCACCAGTGCCAGTGCCTCACAATGTCAGCTCACTTCACCTTGACAGAAACATTTTCAAATACGTTGGAGACTCCAAAGATGATGCTCTGAACATGGGCCGCCACCTCCCTGGAATCGACATTCCCTCTCCTTGCCTGAGACTGGCGCTGTCCAATTCCACGGGTGTGGGGCTCAGCCTCCACCCACTGAGGTTTCTGCACTGTAGGAAGCCCCAGCATGTGGCCCCCAAAAAAGAAAACATCCAACGGCACAGCCTCTTCCTTGGAACAGCAGAAATCCATCTGTTCCTGACGCCCTGCTGACATCAGCTCTCTTCCTTACCCCAAGTTTCTTTAGGTTGCTGGGCACATGGGAAGCTACCAAA